GAGGAAAATTACCATCATAATTAACACTTGACTTTTAGCCAGAAAATGTCATCGAAACCCCGTCCAGTTGTTCCTCCAAAACCCGCAAGACTTTCTGTAAATTCTCAGAAGCGAGACTCGACCTCTTCGGTAACGAGTTTTACAAGTTCGGTAGCATCTCCAGTTTCAAAGATACCATTATGTTCGTCTCCTCCACCAACTTTTCCGGAATCGCCTGACGACAGAACACCTAGAGCCTCAGAAATATTCACGTATTCGGAAGGTCGACAAGCCAGAGCTTTATATAATTTCGAAGGTGAATCTTATCAAGAGTTGTCGTTCCGTGCCGGAGACGTACTTTATATATTAAATGAGAAGCTTTCGGAGGGATGGTCTTTAGCCGAAAAGGATGGAATAACAGGTCTCATTCCAGAATCATATATCACGGTAAACTCATTATAACAATTTACAATTATCGTTTTTGAAGGCAAAACGCGTAATTAACATCTTTTGATATGATCTAGTATACCACAGAATTTACGGAACTTCCAAATTGTACACTATCAGGCACATTATCCGATAGAGATTCGATGGACTCCGCTGCGTCTACGCCCGCAAAGAACGGTTCGATGAGTGAATCGATTTACAGTTCTACCTGTGACTCAACAAATGGGTCGATACGAGGTAGCAAGATAATAGGAAAGAGACAATTTAATCGGTTTAGTTGGTTTGTTACTACAGGGGTAGAGGAGTTCATCCTCAACGGTTGGCAGCCAGATAATAGCATTTCAACGTCACCTGAAAACGGTGAAGAAGTGACAGAATCCGACAAACATTTTATTCAGGTTAGGCTTGAACAATCATCTTGAAATTTCGTTGGTTAAATACCAAATGTTGTTCTTCTATACAATTTGTAGAGTGGCCCAAGTTGGCATGCTAAAGCACCGAGTTTTGAAATTATGGTACATAATCCAGAAAAGAGAGTAAAGCTTGGAGGTGTTCAAGAATACACGATCTTCCATGTTACATCTGTGGTACTTGATCGTCTTACCTTATCCTTATAGAATCGGGATTTTTTGATTTTGATTTCCAATTTTGCACCATAGTTTTCAGGTGTTCGGGTAACGGTCGAAAGGAGATATAGTCAGTTCGAATGGCTTTACAAGCGACTTGTGTCTAAGTTTGGATGCTTTGTGTTGCCTCCTCTGCCCGAAAAACAATATTCTGGTAAAATTACTAATGTCCAATGATTTGACAAATCCCAATAAAGTTTGATGATTTAATACATTCACAATTAATCTTGGATTAGAATTTTTATAGGCCGATTTAATGAAGAATTTATAGAAAAGCGTCGTCGGGCCTTGGAAGTGTTCATTAATCGTTTAGCTCGTCACCCAGTAATTAGATATTCTGACCTCTTAACTCATTTTCTGAATTGTGATAATGATTCGGTAGGTTTTGATGAGGGTATTCTTATATGCGTACTCTTTATATTAAATATTCAAAGGTTTTAGGAATGGAATAAAAGAGAAAAAGAATTTGAGTCAGACAAGCTCGTCGGTCGAGCAATTTTTCAGAATGTTTACCATCCGGAGTTTAACGTAGATGACGGGTAAGGATCTCTTTGTAATTGAATCCGGTGTATTTTCCTTAAATTAATCAATCACTATGCTTTACGCATTATTCATAGGGATATTGAAACCATGGAGAGATTCGCCGCGCATGCTCGAGCTATGGAAAAGTTAATGCCTTGGATAAACGATGCATCTCAAGCACATAAGGATTCTTTGGAAGGTACGTGTACCATAAGATATTTTCTTCAGAATTATCAATTCCTCTTGTGATTTCTCTTTGTTGATCGACAACCAAAAATAAATATTGCAGAAATGAAACGTCAATATCGTCAAGTGAGTTTTGCATTGCTGAGATTAATTACAGGAAAAAGCGTCGGCGAAGGCAATGAATGTGTAAATGAGGATGGCGCTTGGTGTTGGAAAGACGGATGCAATGGTAATATTATTTTCGAAAGACGAAAACCGTAAGAGCAAATGATTATGGATTGGTAATATTATCATTTTGTCTAATGTAATAGCTTGTCTCAGTCTTACCAAGGCACTCCAATATACAGTTGAAAGCATGCAAACGATAGCTGACATGTATGATTCCTATGTATGTATCTATTGCGCGTGCTGATGCTTTGATTTATCCACATTAATAATAAAACATATCATCTCCGATCGATTTAGACGAAGGAAACAGTTATTCCTTGGATTGAGAGTTACAAAATGTATAGCCAACCAGCTACCGATTATGAGGTATGTGATTGGTTTCCTTATATGTGTATTCGATATTTGTATAAGTTTCAAATATTTTAATTTTGTGGTTTTCAGCCTTTAATCGACATGCACAATGGGACTTATAGAAAATACAAAGAAGTTTCTGATGAAAACTTGAGCTTAGAACAGTCTGAGGTAAACAATATTGCCTTATGAATGTTTTCGAATTTCTTTAATTTAATGATTAATTCTCGTTTGATTATTCATCGATGAAGGATTTGCAAATTGAAACGATCAGATCGCGATGTGACACTGTGTTCAATGTAACACTCGCGGAAGTTAACAGAATTCATGATGAACGTGTTCGAGATTTCCAGGGAAGCACCAAGCAATATTTAGATGGGCAGATTGAATTCCACGAAAAGGTTCGAGATTGATGCCTTGTCTAGTGACTCAACGCATTAGAATGTCTCATAAAAATATATAATAATATTAGGTTCTTGAAGAACTTCGTCAAGCGCGTGCCAATTTCGATGAACCACATTATTCGGCTCTCTCACAAACGCCACGAACTCCGAGCTTGTACGAGGATCTCATCGATGAACAACGGCCCATATTATCGCGTCCTGTATCATCCGTAGGATCGATGTCCGATGTTGTTGGTGGGGTTGTTGGTAGCGTGGAGAGCATGGGAAATTTCTTAAAGAAGACAGCCAGAACCTCAATCGGAAGAAGTTCATGGTGGGGAGGAAATTAAGACAACTTTCCAGGGGAAATTTCCGAATTATTATTTTTTTTGCAAATTTTCATGCCAATCGAATAATGGATTGTCCTACAGATAATTTCGGCTATATTTGGACATTAAATTACTAACTATGTTGTATATATTATTTGTTCATATTTAATGCACGTTAACATCTATTCTCACTCGTTACATTATAAATACAATAATGATTACATGAGAGAATTCATTAATTTAATTACGTAGTTCTGAATAATCATACATCCCCGCTATATTACCCGTGAATTATATTGGGTTGTAAAACTTACCCGATGTTTTACGCCTGTTGTTTCGAGATAATTATTGTTATATTAATTCATCGTGAAGAATCTTCATGCTGATCACCTTAATAAACAGTCAAAATAGTATTTAAATATACATTTTACTTTACGATGTTTTCTTCGAATTTCTTCTGTATTAAGATGTATGAAAAATTGTTATGCAAAGTGAATCTGTGCCCGGTTTGAATCATGAGACTATTGTCACGTGACGTGCCAATGTAAAAAATCTTATTAGTGAAATAGATAACACAAAGTATGTTATACAAGTGGTATAAACAAGCCAATAGAAGAAAAAATATCATAGAAATACAATGGTTCAAACTAGGGTTCCTAATGGTACCATTTCAGTACCAAGTTGGTACTGGATTTACTATAAGTTTAATATAGTAAATCACAACTCATATATTAACTTTATTACAAGTTGGTACCATTTTGATACTTGGTTTGGAATCCTAGTTCAAACTATATATGTTTTTTTATTACAATAAAAAAAAATTTGATTAACAATACTCAAAACTCTTCTCATTAATCCTCTAATCAACACTTCAAAATGGTATTTAGACTAAAGCATGTCTTTATTTTTAATAAAACCCATACATTCTTCTTAATACAATTTGACAGACCTTGGCAAGACACTTACGTACTCTCCACTGTTTTATTTATTTCTTCAACAAAGTAAAAACAAGAAGATTTCTTAGTTTTTACTTATCTAAGCTCCAATGGTAAAAAAGAGTTTCCCAAGGAAAAAAACAATTTATTTGATTTCTCTTTTTCTTTTCACTACCATGATATTAATATCTTTATCAGAAAGGATGGTCTGAAAGGTTATTGAATATCTTGGTTTTCAGAAACCTCTATAACATAAATACAGTTACCTTTCTAGTATATTTTCAAAATTCTTTAGTTTTTCTGGAGAATTTTGCCTACCTCAGTTTGATCCTGAATTTTTGGATACACCAGATTTGCTGGGTTTCTATTGGCTGAAAATCTGGATTGGACAACAATAAACAAGTAACAAATAAACAAAACAAGAACACATTCATATTCATATTACATAACTTCAATAATGTCATTGTTTCAGACAGAAAGAGCAAGGTGATAAGATATTTGTTTTGATATAGTTGGGTTTGAATATATACCTCTTTTACTTCCTCTTCTTTTTTTTTTTCTTTATTCTCTCTCATATATATAAATACAAACAAGATGAATAGAATATTTTTCCTCATAGGTTTTTTTGATTCTGATCTATAGTTTGCAGAGGACCACAAATTGTAAACTACTTAACAAGATCTTTAACATGACT